AGTGATTTTGCCATTTCATTCTTATATTCTCACCGTAACCTGCACTTGAAAAAAAATATTCATTATATTTACTAAATATTTTTAAGGTAAGTGTTTGCAAACAATTTATATGAGCTGAATTTAAACAAACAAATTCAGTTGAACGTATCTAAATTTAATTTGTTTGTTTAAAGGTGCAGTGTGTAAGTTTGACACCCAGTGGTTGAACTAGGTATTGCACACCTGGTTCATAACATGCAAGTGCAGGTTGCCAGATTGACGACATCAACAGAAGCAGTCCTGACTATTGCACCTAAAGGCTGATATGAATCATGTTTTAAATAAAAGCAACGGCATGCAATAGAAGACATATTCTTCATATTAAAAGGAGTTTTTGTCCTAACCGACACCTGAAATTTATGTTTTAGAAACGGCTTCTTTTTTTAAAGCTAAACAACAGAAAACACCTCAGGTGCACCTCATGTGGTTTATTCAGTGTTAAATGCCAATAATGTGAGTTTGAATGCCATTCGACGTAACATTTATTGTCATACCACAGAAAGCAGCAGCAGATAGTTCACCTCAAATCTTGAAAATAAAATAAACCGCTTGACATTGAACTTTAAGACTGTGATTCAGTGCAAACTAACACATCTCAGTGATTCAGCATCTACATTTAATAATGTTAAAGAGGTTTAATATGCTTTAATAAGATTTTAAACCTTACCATTTCGTTGGAGTGCAGTGAGTGCACTATTCTGTTCTTCTGCATGGCTGTATTTAAAATTCTATTGTGTTTCTTCTGGTGCAAACAGCCAAATTGTTTAACAATGTAATTCTTGTTACAATGTAACCTGCTCACCTAATGTTTACGTTTGTAATGTTTATATTATTTGCTAATTAATAACCACATCATGCAGAACTCTAAATCTGCATTTCATTTCAGAGTCTGCTACTGTCACGCATACTTTGAGAGCCTTTCTGAATGAATAAATGAAATAAACTGTTTTCCATCAAGGCAACACAGGGAGCTGAAATATAATTGGCTAAACTGGCACTGGGCGGGTTAAATGACCGTAACAAAGACCGTCGTTCCAGCATGTAACTCACATTTTCAAAGCAGAATATCTGACTTCAGCATTGTTTTTAGGATAAACAAAAATGGTCACTTTGCATGTTTCTTAAATATCTGCAAACATATTGTGTATTTGTATGCTTTAGAAGAGTCAGAAACTTACATACAGCACCTTAAAATTCAGCCCACATAAATTGTTTGCAACCACTTACCTTAAAAAAAACTGTAAATCAAATGAATATTTTTTTCAGTGTGCTTTCAAACAGATAAATGATAATGTTATAAGCTATAAGAATCTCTGTGAGTATTTGTTTCTCAAACTTTATTGCATTGATTTTGTAATCCTTTCTATTATCATTTAAATGAACTAGAAAACATCAGAACAATAGTTAATACTGGCACTCACAATGTAGAACAAACTAAAAGTGTAAACTTCTACTAAAGTCAGCATGAAACACTTAGAAAATGGCAGCATTAAAGTGAAAATCGCATAAGTTTCTGCATTAATATTACAATATAAATATGAGAGTGTATCTGCATAAAATATAAACCATTTAAGAAGTGGAAATATTGCTTAATTTTGTGCAAAATGCTTTTAGTGGTCAACGACTTGGGATTAATAATAAAATTAAGCAATATCAAATAAAAACAAGAACCAATAAACATATTGCTATAATACTAATGCACTGTAAAGTAAAGAGTAATACAAATCACTTTATTTACATCTTTATTTTCAAATGTTAACTATTCAAATTGAATAAGTTTCATATAAAGTTTCAAATTTAACTATTTTTAAATGATCAAACTGAAAATAATGATAACAAATAAATGATCACAGTGCAATTTGGACATTAACACTTAGCAATATCTCAATGGGGATTTTAAATCGACAAACAGTTAGTTCCATAAATATTTGGACGTAAACATAATTCTAACATTTTTGGCTCTACACACCAAATATGAAACAAACAATATGTGCTTTAACGTCAGACTGTCAGCTTTAACTTGGTATTTACATCCAAAATCAGGTGAACGCTGTAGGAATTACAACAGTTTGCATATGTGCCTCCTACTTGTTAGGGGTCCAAAATTAATTGGACAAATTGGCTTCTAAGCTGTTTCATGGCCAGGTGTGTGTTATTACCTCATTATCCCAATTAAAATGAGCAGATCAAAGGTCCAGAGTTCATTACTCTAGTAAGCTTTGGTCACACTGCACTTTTCTTCCTATAGACTTCCATTCATACACACGCGAATGCGTCAAACTGTAAACGCAAGCTCCTGCAACAAGTTTCGCAGTTGGCTGGATTGTAAAGTTCAAGCTTGGTAAACAGTGACCTCGTATCAGTTGACTGCGTGAGACCAATCAAGGATCAAAACATGACCTCTCTGGACAGAAATTTTAAATATGGACCAATCACTCGCTTTTTTTAATGTCTAATAATCTAGTTTAATCCCGCCCCTTTTTGCAGCGCCGTACTACAGAATTTCGCAAGCTTAAACTGTAGTGTGACCGCAGCTTTACTTTTGGACCCTTAACAAGGGGGAGGCACATATACAAACTGTTGTAATTCCTACACCGTTCACTTGATTTGGGTGTAAATACCTTCAAATGACAGCAGCTGACAGTCTGCAGTTAAAGTACTTCTTGTTCGTTTCATTTAAAATCGATTGTGTTGGTGTATATAGCCTAAAATGTTAGAATTGTGTCAATGTCCGAATATTTATGGACATGGAACTGTATATCAAGCAGTTTTGTTTTACAACCCATTAAATTCAGTCAAATAAGAAATTGATTGCACTGTGAAAAGTGAATGATTCCATGCTGACTTTAATAATTCAGTAATTAACAAAATGCAACCTTTGGTTCACAAGCAACTTGTCCATTCAATATCTTTTGCTCGAGTCTAATAAAATCTCTCCGGATGTTTCCAAATCAAGCACACAGTGAATTTGAGCTGAACAGGAAGATATTGATTAATGATTTTTTTTAATGGCAACCAAAACCATCTTCTGAACAGAGATGGCAAGCGACGCTTCATTTGGCACATATGCAGTCAAAACATGCACCAGGTAATGAAGTCAGATGAAGACACATCGAGCCAAAGCTATCTGGCAACATTTGGCAACTACATGTGGCCTTACCCATATTGAAATCTGCAAATATGTGCAAATTACATAGGTGACATACAGGTTAGATATATATATGCAACATATATTTCAAAATACAGCAAAAATGGATGTTTAAATATGTTTTTTTTTTGACTATTGGAAGTACATATATGTGTATATATGTTCAAACATATTAGATATAACTGCACATATATGAAATTATAGATCATTTATTTGAATATATATATATATATATATATATATATATATATATACATATATATATATATGTACATTTAGCATAAAATCGTACAGCTCTCACAGATATCTCTTTTAAATGTAATTTATTTTCTATAGGATGCTTTACAATAATATGTTTGTTAGGGGTGTCAAAATGAATTGTTTCTTCGGTGCACCACGATGCAGATGAGGACAATTCGGTATAGGTTCAGTAATACATCTTAACTGGTTACATACAGACGTCCTTTATCTCAAATGTGCTATGTTGCGTTAGTTTACTGTGGCGAGGGAGGCGAGCGTGAGCAACTAAAATGCTCCAATTACTTGAAAACTCAGTCCAGCAAACGCATACGCAGTGAATTGGGCAGTCTCACTTACACTGAGGGTACAGCAGAAGCCCCAATTTCACTGCTATGGACAAAACGGGGCCTATGAGACCAGTGTAGGTTCACACTCCTCTAATATTTGTGCATAAACATTAGATTAACCAGTACCAAAGCTTAACTGGAACTAATCTAACAAATAAGACTTATAAGATCATGGTTAAAAATGAGTACACTCGAATTAATATGCTGGGGAAACATATAATAAAGAGGAAAAACAATTATGTAATTTTGTAGTTTTAAGTGTTTTTGTAACAACTTATTTGAATTTAAATACATTCTCTTTCTATTCCTAATGATGTTATGTGACCAAACTCTTTTTAAAGCATAAAACTGGTTAATAAAACAGTTTTGTTTAAATGCACCCACAATTTTTGCCTATAATCACTGAGAAATGGATAAAAATGCTCATTTTCAAGGGGATCAACTTCATCTATGCTGAGCACTATATATAACGTCATTTTTGCAATACTTTGAAATAGAGGTCTGCATATAAATTTCGGAATAAATCGCGGGAGCGGTCGGTAACGGGTTTAATTTGGGACGGGAGTGGGGTGTCTAGCAATATCACTCCTGACTCTCAAGTGAGCACGCGTATGTATGTGTGTAAATGAAATAGCTTTGTTTAGCTTGTTTGGTGCTATGTGTGTGTGTGTGTGTGTATATGTGTGCGCACGCGCGACTGAGAGATGTGTGTGTGTGTGTGTGTGTTAGTGCGCGCGAATGATACAGAGACAGAGAGCTTTGCCTGTGTGTGTGCTTGGTGCTTATGTGTGTGTTAGTGCGTGCACGCGAATGAGAGAGAGAAAGAGCTTTGCCTGCTTGTGTGTGGTGTGTGTGTGTGTGTGCGCGCATGAGAGAGAGAGAGAGAGCTTTGCCTGTGTGTGTGCTTGGTGCTTATGTGTGTGTGTTTATACAGACAGCTTGGACAACAAGTGCTTAATATAAGCGGGAGCGGTCAGGTTCAGCCTAAAACCTGGCGGGTGCGGGTGGGAGCGGGATTCAAAATTTAGTCTCGCGCAGATCTCTACTTTGAAATATGTTGCATATATGACATATATATATATATATATATATATATATATATATATATATATATATATATATGTATATGTGTGTGTATATATATGTGTATGTATGTGTATGTATATATATATATATATATATATATATATATATATATATATATATATATATATATATATGTGTGTGTTTGTGTGTGTGTGTGTATGTGAAATCCAAATATAAGCCTCTACATTATATAGGTAATTTGCATATTGCCATATATTAGATTTCCATATGGGTATTAACATCTGCAAAGACACATTTAGCTAGATTGCTTGATCTATATCTATTTTTGCCATATTTTAGTTTAGATTTTGATGATAGCGTGATTATTAATCCACTCTTGTGAATGTCATTTATTTAACTCAAGGATGCATTTCCTCCCCTTATGAATGTGTCAGTGCAAAGAGACTCTTATGTTCAGGAAGGTGGCCTGTGGAAATTCTGCCGCTCTGTCAAATGATGTTTTAGGCTACGCTAAAATGTCCCCCTCCAAAGACATGCTGATTACACCCTGCAGGTTTTGATATCTGGAATATTTTTTTTTCCCTGTGTGTTTCTATACGCAGTTTGGACTGGTGGAAGTGGAAGAACACCTGGTACTGTGCAAGCTAGAGGATCTGTAGTATGAAACGGATGTAACCGTACATGTGCATCGGCTGATTTTAAGACTGTAAGATGATGCAGAATTCCATACAAAGAAATAAATACTGATGATCTCTTCAACCAGCTTGCCTTAGGAGGGCTGTTGGAGGATTTCCCTTTTCGTCTACATAACACTCTCGAAAATGATCACCTTGTTCTCCTCCATCCCAGGAGACAGAGAGGCCAGGCTTTTAATGTCAGTGTCGGGAGCCATGTATTCCAGGTGATGGGCTCCCCACACTGGTTTGGTCAGATTTTCCCAACGCTGAAAAACAAAAAAATATAACAGGTCAATATTCATTTTGTTTTAATGGATAAATTTTGACAGCTCACTTAGCTGTGATAGTTACAATTGATTATAAGTAAGCATGGCACGATAACCAGTTTCAAGGTTTACCATGATTAGGAAAAGTCAGGGTTTTAAAAACAGCTACTATTTTCTGCTATACCATTCCTAGAGTATACAGTTGAAGTCAGAATTATTAGCCCCCCTTTGATTTTCTTTTTTAAATATTTCCCAAATGATGTTTAACAGAGCAAGGAAATGTTGAAAGTATGTCTGATAGTATTTTTTCTTCTGGAGAAAGTCTTGTTTGCTTTATTTCGGCAAGAATAAAAGCAGTTTTTAATTTTTAAAAACCCATTTTAGGGTCAAAATTATTAGCTCTTTTAAGCTATATTTTTTCGATAGTCTACATAACAAATCATTATAACAAATCATTATACAATAACTTGACAAATTCCCCTAACCTGCCTAGCTAACCTAATTAACCTAGTTAAGCCTTTAAATATCACTTTGAGCTGTATAGAAGTGTCTTGAAAAATATCTAGTCAAATATTATTTACTGTCATTATGGCAAACATAAAAGTTATTACAAATGAGTCATTAAAACTATTATGTTTAGAAATGTGTTAAAAAAAACTTCTCTCCGTCAAACAGAAAATGGGGGTAAAAACTAAACAGAGGGGTTTAATAATTCTGACTTCAACTGTTCTCATTTAAAGTGGTAACAAGTGTTTCGACTTCCACATAATATTTTTGAGATTTTAATAAGCTGTTTACTTAGAAAAAAAAAAACTCTTAAAAATTCCTATAGTTAAGTTAGACTATTTTACTCCAAGTGTACAATCAAGCTCTGATTTATCTCTCAGTAACATTGCTTTTTTTGTTGTTGTTCATTTATTTATATATTTATTATTATTATTTATTTTTTGCATTGACTGATTGTGAAATCACAAGTGTAAAATTACAAAATAAAAACAAAATGTTATGTAGGAATGTTAAAAAAACTAACATGAATAGCATAATTGCAAGAATTGAATGTATAAATATATATCCACTACAGGTCAAAAGTTTGGGGTCAATTGTTTTATTTTTTTAGTGATTATTTTTATGTAATAATTTAAATAAAGTTATTCTGTTCATCAAAGCAGCATTTATTAAATGTAAAAAAAAGTTAAGTTACTCTTACCATTAATAATAATAATAATAATAATAATTATAATAATGATAACAATAATAATTAATATTAGAGTGATTTCTGAAAAATCATGTGACTCTGTTGCAAATTCATCTCTAAATTCATCTTTAAAATGACTAGAATAAATTATTAAATTAGATTAAAAACTACTTTTGAACAGTTATTTTATAGTGCAATAACATTTCACTATTTTGCTATTTGTACTGTAATTTTGCTGAAAAAGCGTTTGCACCCTTACAGATTTCTTTAATATTTAGCAGGATTTTTCCACTTCAAACAAGACCATCAAACAAATGTAAATATTAGTCAAAGATAACACAAGTAAACACATCATGCACATTTTGAATTAAGGTTTCTATTGTTAAACAATTTTGTCAATAAGTAGTAATAGTGTAAATAATTAGTCCCACAATAAGGTTTCATTATTTAATGTATTCACTAACATGAACAAATCATGAACAATACCGCATTTATTAATCATAGTTCAACATTTACTAATGCATTATTAACATTGAAATTCATGCTTGTTAACATTAATTAATGCACTGCGAGTTAACGAACTAACAATGAACAACTTTATTTTCACTTACTAACATTAACATGAACAAATACTGTAATAAATGTATTGTTCATTATTTGAAAATGCATTAACTACATTAAATAGTTGTAACCATTAACCTTATTGTAAAGCGTTACCAAATCATTTTTAAATAATTTAGTTTAATATTATTATTATTATTTTTAAATAAATTAATGATACTAAAATAACACTGACTGCTTTTAAAGGTTCAGGACACCCTGGAGAACTTTTTTTTATATATATTAACAGATGTGTGAGTTGAGCATCAGTTAAGACAATGTTAGCACCTGTCAGCTTTAATTGTGGGGAAAACTGGATAGTTTTCAGCTTTTGTCAGCTAATTTTAGCTTCCGGGTTTAGAATGATTTTTGGGGGCGGGATCAAAATCGGCGACGTAGCGAAGTACTGCAAGTGCAATGATGATGCGTCGGTTTCTCATTATTATTCAAAGCGGAGTTTTCTTATCCTATGAGAAGAGCCGGCTGCTTAATTATTCATTAGCACGTGCTTTCCGAAGGCAAGGCAGACGCAGACCTGCCAGACCAGTGCCAAGCTCAAGCTGTGAGACACAGACCCACGGCATGCAGTAGCCGTTTATGAAGGCTCGTATGTGTTTGTTTCCATGATCCACAGGGTTTGTTGCATGTTTGTCCCCGCGATCCTGTCAGGGCCGATCAAACAGCAAAGCTGTGTGTGTGATGCAAGCATTTTTGTCGGGAGAGCAGCACGAGAATTGGAGAATGGCGGATGTTGTCTTGTATCAGGAGTTCATTCACATTCAGACACATCGCCGTGCTGCTTTGTTTGCCTAAATCCTCCAGATTACCAGCAGGGCTAATGGTTAAAATAGGCAGGTCAGGAGACCTGCTGCACTGAGTCTGCATTTAGATCTATGATTCAGACCCGGGGATTGAGGGAGAAGTCCTCATTTATAGTGTGTACATGAACACTATTATCTTTATTATGATATAAATTGTGGTTGTCTGTATATGAAATTACGAATAACAAATGTAGCAGGACATTAAATTACTGTTTATTTCTTTGCATTTTAACTTTGAAAACTATAAACTCATGCGTCTCCTCACGGTTTGTCTCAGTTTGCGAGCTAACTGACAACAACAGTTGTTCGCTCCCCTTCTCCCCTGCTTGCCACGCCCACTCCTGCCCTATGCTCGCAGAGCTCCACGCCCATTAATCATGCATCTTTTGAAAAAATTCTGAAGTAGACTTTAACCGAAAGTGGGGGGTGTCATGGCCCTTTAAATATTACCATACATTTGCAGAAAATGGATTCCAGTCAAACATACTTTTATATTTGTATTACCTATAGGTTGTGATGCACTTCATTAGGTTGAATCAGAATGTAACATCATTTCACCCCCTTCTTTTTTTCACTGAATGTGTTAATACACATTCAATGAAAATGAAATCGTGCTGTACACTGAATATAGGACATCTCATCATATACCTCAGGTCACAATCTTTTTATAGATACAATCATAGTGTCGTAATATCATCCACACAATAGATAACATTTTCGTTTCTTTAAAAGTAACTATACACCTTAAGACACTTCAAAGCCACAATATTAATCTATGTGACTGATAGCCCTATTATTTTCCGTTTCCTCCAGCATCAAGCTCTAGTTTTTCCCACAGCGTACAAGCCACAAACCCTCACTTTTGTCTTGTGTGTGAATGTGTTTGAATGCAAACACTGAGGCGTTGAAGCATTGTGGTCTGCAGAGGAATGACAACCATTAGCCTACTTACTATAAATACACACATCGCTTTCTCATGATGCTTTCACTGAGGTAACTGACCCATAGTCCAACTCCAATGGCACCAACAGCAACATTAAACCGCCACTTTCACAGTAACTGCTGCTGTTTTTATGTGTTTAAGAGGGGTTGATGCTCACAGTTTGAGTATTTAGAGAGTGGGACTGCACAATATATAGTTTGAGCATTGATATCAGTGTGTGCATCCGCAGTAGTCACATCGCAGGATATGCAGTGTTGAGTAGGGATTATTTGAACAGCTCCACAGTTCAGACACATGAGAATTGTGCAGTCACTGCAAATTTGAATTGTAATATAGTTAAAGTTGATCATTTGTGAGTGTTTTTAATGCATGTAACTGTTTCACATTTACTGTTACATTTAGGCATAATAAATTATACCATTTGCAACTTTAACACAGTTCATTTTATTGAATTATTTGTACATTTCTAGACTATAAAATGCTGTTTATTTTCCTTGTAAGTTTGCTCTATTGTTTTTATCTTTGCTTCTAATTAATTTATTGTACTTTTTGCATGAAATAAGCCAACCTGATTTCACCAAGTAGTAAGTTTAGTGAGTAGTGAGTAAGTTTCTACTGAGTGGTACGGTGTGGTTCGGAACGCTTTTATGGCGGTTTCCATAGTCAAAAGGTACCAAAAAGTGAAACGTACTGTACTATGTTTTGGGTACCCTTTAGACCAGTGTTTCTCAACTGGTGGGTCGTGACCCAAAAGTGGGTTGCGGGAACATTTTCAGTGGGTCGCGGAGTGTGTGGTCAAAATAAAACAATAAAAGTTTAATTTTTTACTTATTTTGCTTATACCGGACTTTTATTTTGAAATGCATGCGCGACAACCCTACCGTCTGACAAGTGAAATTTCATTTAATTATTGCAAAAAATATGTCGAAGCGCAAGTACGACCCCAAATATGTTAAGTATGGATATATATATATTGACGACAAAAAAGACTTAACGCCTCAGTGTCATATGTAGTGAGGTGCCCTCGTAAGAGAGCATGAAATTTGGGTTGCGGCTTGATGACCATGTAAAAATGTGGGTCCCATGGCCAAACCAGTTGAGAACCCCTGCTTTAGACAACCCAGGCTCATTCTGAAAACGTAGTCCCGTGGACGTTTCTGGAGACTGCGAATTATGTGGCCGCAGGTACGTATGGCTACATTTAATTTTTTAAGCGAACGCTACGAGGTGGTGTGACGCCGTTCCTTTTTCGGATTGCTGGCTGACCGCTTACCTCCGTGTGGAGGGCTTTCCCACCGAAACCAATTTGTCCAGTTTGTTCTTCATGTAAGTCGGCAGACTAAAGACGCAGAGAGGAGCTGACCACGACGACGACAACCGGGTTCGAGTCCGGGGAAGAGCGGTTCAAGAAATCAGGTGAGACAAAAACAGAATCCAAAAAATAGTCAACAAGATGATAACAGGATAAGAATGTGGTAAAATCCGAAAACGTAGTAAAAATCAGACGAGGGCTTTTCTTTTTCTGGACGGCTTTTGTAAATTGTTGGTTGGGTTTAGGAAAAAGGGAGGAGGGTGGGTCGGCCGATTGGCCGGTCACCCAGTCAATCATTCAGCCAGTCAGACAGACGGTTGTTCGACAGTAGTCTCTGGTTTACGCAAGAACAGCGCGGGTGTGAACGGCACTCACAAGAGACGTTCAAGATGCGAAAAAGCGCACACAGTTGCCTCTCGCTGATTTGCGAAAACAAAAACTGCAAAAATACGTACCTCCTGGTACCTATTTTGCGGTCTCCAGAAACGTCCACGGGACTACGTTTTCAGAATGGGCCTGGGTAACCTTTAGGGTACCAGATTGTGAGGCTCTGTGTGTGTTTATATATGTCTTATTTACTTTTTATTATATATAATCGCAGATGTATGACGTAACGGTACAGTAGGCTATTTACATTATCATTGGTTTGCCATTATAATCATATACTGTTCATAGAAAGATTAGTAATTAACATTAATACATAAGTATTTATGTATATAAAGCATTTGTTTAGTAAGAAGTGCTTTCATACAATATGGTTTATTTTATCTTTGCCATGATGACAGTAAATAATATTTGACTAAATATTTTTCAAGACACTTCTATACTTAAAGTGACATTTAAAGGCTTAACTAGGTTAATTAGTTTAAGTAGGCAAGTTAGGCAAGTTATTGTATAACGATGGTTTGTTTTGTAGACTAATAAACAAATATATAGCTTAAAGGCGCTAATAATTTTGACCCTAAAATGGTTCATAAAAAAATAAAAACTGCTTTTATACTAGCCGAAATAAAACAAATAAGACTTCTCCAGAAGAAAAAAATATTATCAGACATACTGTGAAAATGTTCTTACTCTGTTAAACATCATTTGGGAAATATTTAAAAAAGAAAAAAATTCAAAGGGGGCAAATAATTCTGACTTCAACTCTATCTGACTGCAATGTCAGATTTTTTCGATATCACACAGCCCCATTAGAGAGTTAAAATGTCTGAAATGGTGTGTACCTCTTTAAATGTTCCCTTAGCTCCAGAGAGCTTGTACACGAGGCTGACGGGGATGCAGAGCATGGAGGAGAGAGCCAGACACCATCCGATCACCTCTCCCCACCATGGGTACACATACACATTGTTGTAGGTCAGAGGCTTGTAGTTCAGCAGGTGAAATAGGAAGATACCCTGAAGACCAAGAAAAAAGGCATCCATCAAAAATCTGACTGCATCAGTAGCTATGTTTCCATCCACCTATTATTATGGGCATTTTGGAATATTGCATAGAAAATGTTTAATGGAAACATCAAGATGCACGAAATTTTTTCACATGCACATAAATACTGATATGAACAACTGAGTAGGATAAACCTTTGTTTTTGATTTGTTTTTGCTACAACGGATGTAAATGGCACATGAAAATGTAAATTCTGCTAAATATTTACTTCTGTTGTGTTCAACTGAAGAAGGAAACTCGTAAATGGTGAATACCTTTGGAAACTGTCCCTTTAATACCAGGTGTATACTGTAATGCATCATTTAAAATCATTTTAATGGCATATGCACTGACATGCCATGAACAGGCGAGAGGTTTTTCAACACTCACCATGCAAACACATGGAGTTATAATGGACCAGCACCACTTCATCCACGGGAATGGCCGGTAACCGATCATACGAGCAATATCGTCCATGAATCTGTCAGCACCTGCACAAAGTCAGCAGTGTTTTAGGTGTGTGTAGGATTAGAATAGCGTTACTGTCAGCACAGGCTCCTACATGCTATTTTTGTCCCTGTGTGCAGCGAACATTGTAAAGATAAATGTCTGCGCTGCTCATGATAAACTGATGAGATGTGAGAAAATGAAAGCTGATTCTCACCATAAACCCATGCGACAACCACGCATTCCCAGAATGCTTGCCACAGCAGGGTCATTCCACTGGCTGAGTAGTAGTCAAAAAGCTGGAAGACGTACATCCCTCCCTGAAATTGATCAACGGAGAGATTAAAAACTGACATTACATTAAAACGAGCACTATCTACCAACATTTCCCACTATCAGCGCATGTTATTCCACAGAAGAAAAAAAATCAATACTAATATGTAATAAAAAGCATAGAAATGCCAGATGAACTAATAAATAAGTACATACTACAGTTTATGATTTATGTAACTATGATTATAAATACAGACACATTAAAATAATTTCCTAAATGTAAATATTGACAATTTTTTTTTGTACTCAAAATTAATTAATTAATGAACCTTTTATGTAACATTATTAGTCAGTTTTATGTAAGTTAAACAGTGGTGTAAAGTACTTAAGCAAATGGACTTCGTTACTTAAGTATTTTTTGGCTACTTTTTACTCGTACTGAATATTTAAAATATAAGCAAGTTTTATTCTCTACTTGACTACATTTTTGATTGAATATATGTACTTTTTACTCCACTACATTTGAACGGACGCTTATAGTTACTTATTACATTGTGATTGTGCGTGAGGCCGAAGTCGGCACATCAAGCAGTGCCAGCACTGATGACCATCGATGGACTTATCTGAAAGAAATGTTTTCATTTGCCGATATGCAGAATGTCTCTTACAGGATGCAGTGTCTACTTTGTTTGCCACAAAAATAAGTGCTTTTAAGAATTTATGGTACAATTTGAGAAAACACATTGAAGTAAGAGTCTATTTAACGTTAATTTAATGTAAATTAAGTGAATTTATTACAGTTACTGAAATGGCAAAAACCACTGTGACATGACGACTGTTTTAGCTTAATTTGTTTTGTGCAACGTGAATAAATGTTTTTACTGAAATTATACAGTTTGCTCCTCTGTTTAATATTAATACAGAGAAAACATCCAAATCAATTGAAAAACTACTCAAAATTAAAGTATTGCTTCCCTTTGAGACGGTGAGGTGAATCGCATGAAAGTCAGCTCAGATATTTTCTACTACGTTTTTTACTTCTTTTTTTTAAATTGTTTGTGCCATTTTGAACATTTTAGTTTGAGACTTTTTGTTCTATTTTTTTTTATCTATTTTGTTCTGCCATTTTGAAACATTGAGGTGTTCAATTTAATTTAATATTATGAAATAAAACCTTTCTTGGTGTTCTTTGAGCCTACATTCAGTACGAGTAAAATACTTATGTTCTTTTAAAATTGGATACTTTAATACTTTTACTCAAGTCTTATTGGAATTGGTGACTTGTAACTTGTAATGGAGTCATTTTTACAGTAAGGTATCTGTACTTTTACTCTAGTATGGTTTTTAGGTACTCTTTACACCTCAGAAGTTAAATGTGTTATGAATGTTGTCTGTACTCAACAGTAAGTCAAAATGTCATCTGTGTTTGATAAAGCAAACAAATCAATCTCTCAAATGCTACTTGTCAGGTCAGCGATTGTTTGAAGTTGTCCTGTGTAAACTTCTGCGTCATCGTGAGCTTTACGAGTCACGTCTCTTCTGCGTACAGTAAGAGTTTTAACTGCTGGATGATCAAACTCTGAATGAGAGCGTGATGATGTAATGCTCAGTGAAAGGACTCGTGACAAACCATTATATTGTTGTCTGACTAATGGAGTAGAACGCTGCTGATCGTGAGGGAAATAGATGCTGATTTTCTCACGCTTGACATTATCGCTTATGGAAGGGTGTTTCATTAAAGACACTCACCTGTGTAACCATGGAGAGATCTATAATGAAGCATAATAAACAGCAGATCGCCACAGCGATTTCGCGCTGATAGCGCATGTAATACTTTCCAGGGAAAAGATCAAGAATGCCAGTTACGAAACCCTCCACACCAACAAACTGTGAAAAAAAAAGGAGTCATGTGTGTTAGTAATGGAAGATTTAAAGATATAGTTGTTGTATAGTGTAATATAAATTGATAACACACAAGGGCTAATTGAGATAAGAAACTTACTACATTAATAGAACAAGTTTGGGAACTTAATATAATTGAGACACTGTTTTCTATTTCATTTTATTTTTAAATTTCAGACATTTTGTTTGTTGTTTTTGTCAATTTGATTATTATATGTTTGGTTTATGTCTGTAGAGGCAGGGGTTACAGATTGTTAGGGGGCTGTAGTGTTCTTGAGATGCAGATTATAGTAAAGTGAGCAGATCTGGAGGGGCTATTTTTGTAGAGAACGGCCCGGTGCCATACTAGCTGGTGATACTAGAGTGGATATGCCCTTCTGTCCATCTCCCATACACTGAAAAGCTAGTTTACATCAAAGTCGCTTTAAGGCAAGTAATTTAACTAGGTTGGCAATTTTGAAACGCCTCTCGGTCAGTATGATCGGGCATTCTGTTTGAATGGGAAAACATCACATTTTCTAAAATTAGGAATCACCAATAAAATTAAACAACAACTGTTTCTTTAGATTCTTTTCTTAATGTTTGAGTCACACAAACTCTTACTGAAATTTTTTGGCTTCTGTAATACAAGGCGGGGCTTCATTTGCCATTTAGTCGTTACACTTTTCACATTCAAAACTATAGGAGCGACACGTCCGGTGTATTCTACAGTCTTTGTTTACATCCAGCTTAGAGCAGTGTAAATTAATGCGAAGATGCTACATTGGTGCCGTGACCCGGATGAGAGCGAATTTTAAATTCAGTTGATCGTCTTTCAGTAATAGCCAATGTTTCCAACATTCTCTATTTTTATGTGCATTTTGGACCAGGCATAAAAAATACACCAAATGGAAACACCAAAATGCGCACAAAAATGAAAATGTGCATAGTAAAATGATGCGCACAACTTAGGATAGGATGCAAAATATACTACGATGGAAACGCATTTACTAAATAATTTTCAGTGTGTGCATTGTGACGGTCCCAAGTATCCAGACCTTATTTCAGGAAAAATGTGGCAGATCCTGATTGGATGACTGCATAACCAATCATTAATTGGTTGTGTAAATGTGTAAATGTGTAAAAGTGTTGCTGTGCTAGTTGGGAGAGGATGGTGTGGTTACTCAGGAGTCTTCATGTCAATGCCCAGCCCTAGTGTAGGCACATTGAAGGCACATAGCAGCTCATGGTTGGGGGTCAAAGCAGGGCAAGAAGAAGCAAATGACCAAGAAACACTTGCAATGTAGTGTTTGAAGAACAGCTGGTCATCTAAGATTACTCCAAGATTTCTGACCGAACTCTGTTATTTCAAACTTTAGTTCACCCAAAAGAAGAAAATGTTGTTATTAATAATTCACCCTTTTGTCTTTCCAACTGCCCTTTCATAATCTTTAAAACTCAAATTAAGATATTTTAGATCAGGGGTGTCCAAACTCGGTTCCTATTCAGGACACCGGCGCTCCAGGAAAGAGTTTGGACACCCCTGTTTTAGATTAAAATCAAGAGCTCTCTCATCCTCCATAGGAAGCAACAGTTCCAAGATGTTCAAAGTCCAGAAAAGTGTAAAAACATTCCATGTGGTTCAACTGTAATTATATAAAGCTCCAAGAATACAGTTGTGCACCAAAAATCATGAATGAAAATGAAATGAAAGTCATTTTTACAGTTTTTAGGTGCATAAAAGTGTTCTTGGAGCTTCTTATGTTTACAATTGAACCACTAAAGTCACAGGGAAGTTTTTTTTTTATTCCTCCTGGATTTGAAAGTCTATGCAGGATGAGAGAGCTCTCGCATTTCATCTAAAATATCTTAATTTGTGTTTCAAAGTTGAGCGAATGGTGATTGAAATAAAATTACGGCAATCAATCAGTAACAGATTTTCAATTTTTTGGCTAAACTAATCTTTGAATATCCTAAAACCTCCGCAAAACATCCGTATAAATGTTTGTTTGTGAACTGACCTGACTGTCCAGTCCCAGCAGTAGCAGCATGATGAAGAATAGGGCAGCCCACACCGGAGCCACGGGCATCATAGAAACGGCTTTAGGATACGCTATGAACGCCAAACCGGGGCCTGTGGGGAGAAGAGAATATGAGAAACGCGTCACCACGGGCAACAGGCCGCCCGCAACTCAGACACACATACACACGTACAGCACCAACGGAACAGAGAGAGATAGAACTCAATAAAAGAGAGAAAGAGAGAGAGAATGAGAGATAGAAGCACCTGGATGAGGTGAAACGAAGTGATAGCTTGTGGAAAAAAGAGGCGGGGGATTTAATTTTTCCTATCTTTTTTTTATTGCTCCGTTACAGTATATCGAAGGCAGGTTTCACAATTAGACATTTAATAGTTAGAAATATCTTTCAATTTTATTCTGATGTTTTTTAGTGTCATTGATGTGTAATGTAGTGTAGGCAGTGTCTCTTTAGAGGTGCATGTTAACATTAAGGGCATCTAAATCTATCAGTGTCATTAGTCAAAGGCCATAATACTAGTAAGTATCACAGCACACAAGACAAGAAATTTACAATGCAGTTAGTTTGCTGTCACATGACAATTAAAGAGCTGGTTATGTAGATTTGTGTCCTAAAGGAACACAAATGGCATCTGCTATATCAATAACTGTTAATGTTAACTGAGCCGACTGACAATGAAATGCCATGAGATTGTCTATTTTGGTCTAAATCACTAATAACTTTATCATTACTTTATAATTACAACAGTTTAAATGGGTCATATTGTAAACAAATATTTAACCAATAATTTTTTAAAGGTAAAACAATTACAAAATATTCAGTTCCTAGTTTATTGTTAGAGTAAATTGAATTTGATTGCTGGTTTTGCTTTTATGTGTGAGCCTTCTTTGCATGTTAAATGAGAAGCAAAGTATTATTGTGCTCATTCACATCATTTATAATATGTTTTTAGTAATGATGTTCATCAAAACCAGACAATTTGCATAGCCTGAATTACACTGTGACAGATCACAGTCTGAACAGAAATGTGCTGTTAAACCCTTTCCTGAAATGATCAGGGTCACTGATTCATAACACTGTTTTTTTTTTAATTAAAGCTAGAACAGCATGTGGTTTAATGTATTTTGTTTGTAGCATTATTGTATAATGTATGTAGTTTTGTAGACACTTTGGAGTGTTTCATTGTCTTTTCTAGACATTACACCATCTAAACATACCGGCCATATTATAGGTATAAATGGAGAGTGTGTTGGTGTTGTGTTAAAATGCCCCTATTATGCTATAATTTTACTTTTAAGGTCTTCTACAAAAGGTTTACACCCATCCAAGGTTAAAAAACATGTGACCCTGGACTACACAAAAACTTATGTTGCACAGGAAGCAAAAAACAAATATAAAATATAAGGGTCAAGATTACAAATTTTAATTTATGCCAAAATTCATTGGGATATTAAGTAAAGATCATGTTCCATGAAGATTGCAATTTTCCTACAGTAATTATACACTCACCAGCCACTTTACTAGGTACACTTTACTAGTACCGGGTTGGGCCTACTTTTGCCTTCAAAACTGCTTTAATCCTTCGTGGAATAGATTTAACAAGGTACTGGAAATAATCCTCAGAGATTTTCGTCCATATTGACATGATAGCATCACGCAGTTGCTGCAGATTTGTCGGCTGCACATCCATGATGCGAATCTCCCGTTCCACCAAATCCCAAAGGTGCTCTATTGGATTGAGACCTGGTGACTGTGGTGGCCATTTGAGTACAGTGAATTTATTGTCAAGTTCAAGAAACCAGTCTGAGATGATTCACGCTTTATGACATGAAGTGTTATGCTGCTGGAAGTAGCCATCAGAAGAGGAGTACACTGTGGTCATAAAGGGATGGACATGGTCAGCAACAATACTCAGGTAGGCTGTGGTGTTGACTTGATGCTCAATTGGTGCTAATGTGCCCAAAGTGCACCAAGAAAATATGCCCCACACCATTACACCCCTACCATGAGCCTGACACCGTTGATACAAGACAGGATGGATCCATGCTTTCATGCTGTTGATGCCAAATTCTGACCCTACCATCTGAATGTAGCAACAGAAATCGAGACTCATCAGACCAGGTAACGTTCTTCGAATCTCCTATTGTCCAATATTGCCTCAAGGTTTGACGTCCGTTATAATGAGTGGTTATTTGAGTTACTGTTGTCTTTCTATCAGCTGGAACCAGTCTGGACATTCTCCTCTGACCTCTAGCATCAACAAGGCATTTGCGCCCACAAAACTGCTGCTCACTGGATATTTTCTCTTTTTCGGACCATTCTCTGTAAACCCTAGAGATGGTTGTGGGTAAACATCCCAGTAGATCAGCAGTTTCCATCTGGCACCAATAACCATGCCACGTTCAAAGTCCCCTAAATCCTCCATTCTGATGCTCGCAGCAGATCGTCTTGACCATGTCTACATGCCTAAATGCTTCTGTTTCTACATTGGCTGATTAGAAATTTGCACTAAAGAGCAGTTGGACAGGTGCACTTAATAATCTGTCCGGTGAGTGTATAAAAACATAATTTTTGATTAGTAATTAATATATTCTTAGTACTTAATTTGAACATTTTTAGAGGGAATTTTCTCAATATTTTGATTATATATTTTCTTAGATTCCACATTTTCAAATAGTTGAGTCGCAGTACTTCAGACTTATGACTGGTTTTGTGGTCCATGGTCACATACTGTATAATATACTTATACAGTGTCTGTAATGCATGGTTCAAGGAGCCATTCTCACTAAACTCCTCCCTTCCAAAACCCTGCTCTGCTTGGTCAGATCATGGCCATGTTTTGTTGTGATTGGTCCACTCTTTACGGTGCATGTTGGAAATCAAAAGAAAGCACTTTTAAACAGCGATATGAGCAGTCATGATGCCGTTCATTTTAACGTATTAATTTGAGCGAGTGTGTACATTGCTGGCAGCTTTTGAAGACTAAACTGGCATTATGCAGTTTTGTTATAGGTTTGTGCAGGGAGTAAGGAATTACTGGTGACTTGTTTTAAGAAGTTTCAAAACATGTTCTTTCATTTGGTTGACAGTTAATACTTTTATTTTGCACTTTGATTGAAACCAAAGATTATATATACTGTAAGAAGAAACAGATGAGTATTACCAAGAATAGTAGAAACTGCAATGATCAACATGGTGGACAAAGCCTCTCAAATAAAAGATCGCCAATCTGTAAAGCTTGCTTTAGCTGCTGTTAGAAGTTCTGGCTCCCATAGAAATGCATATAGACTTTTCAAAAGTTTATTTAAAGTGCACTTTTTTTGCGTGCAAAAAACAACAGCTTTGAAATATTTAAGTTTGTCAAGCAGTTTTGGAGGTTTCATTATTCCAACATTTAAATACAAGTCTTGTGTTGTGTCCCAATTCACCTACTATCCGTCCAAAATAAAGAATTTAAAAAAAGAATTACCATGTACCAAATTAAAGTGTGTTTAAACACAAGTCAAAGTGTATTCCAAAGTTACCCGGATGGTCTACTCTTCCCTGTAAAAATTGAAGGTGCAGATTTGTGTGTGCTCTAATGTATAATATTGCACACAATAGATTGCTTAATGAATGGGAATTAAATTAGAACTACAAACATGGCTAAAAAGTGTTAAACTACAAACATAGTGCATGTGTAAGAGCAATGGTTAAGTGGATAGGCTTCGGTAAAGATGTTTGAAAGATTGTTTATTCATATCTAGCCAACTGTAAAATATTTAAAATCACATTTTGGACATTATATTTGATCTGCAACAGGAATACAAACTTTTATTTAGACCTATTTGGTCATTAACTTCTGAATGCAGAATTATGCAAACACCAGAGGTGATTTCTGAACATGAAATGTTAGATTAGCCCACAGATGGTGTCGATTTTATTGACAAGGCATGTAGCTAAGCAACATAACTGTCCATTAATGAGGAAGTAGTATCAAAGTCCCTTTAAGGAAAGTAATTTCACTTGGTGGCCATCTTTGAAACGCCTCTTAGGCAGTATGCTCGGGCATTCTAATTGAATTAGGAAACATAAAATTCTTCAAAATTGCTTGCCAAGTTTACGATTAAATTTTATATTAGGAATCATCAAAAAAATGTTACTTTAATTGGTGAATAAATTGGTGAAAAAAGAAAATTACTCTTTAGTTTCATTTCTAAACTTTCGAATAACACAAAATCTGCAGAAACCCACATCTGGGTGACACGTCTTGTGTATTCTAGAGTCTTTGGTAGTGTCCCAAATCTTGCATACTCTTCTGTTACACACTCAAAAGTACGCAAACTTTTAGGACATAGTTCAAGTAGGCGAATTGGGAAGCAGCGTTAGTCTTGTTCATCAAAATAGCAGACTTAAAGAACTGGAAATTAGGCCACTAAATAAAGAAGACTTCCCTTGAAATCTTCTTTGCAGGATTATATGAACTATATTACAACCTAAATAAAAAAAATAATATTCAAAAAAGCATAATAGGGGCACTTTAAGTAAAAAAAAAAAGAGATTTTTGCAATTGTGTAAAATGATTTCTCTGTATATGACCCCTTTAAGAAGTACAGAAGCAGGATATTGATGGAATACTGCCAATGAGACACTGTTTTTACGTGACTTCCGGTAAGAAATATAATGGAAATATATGGTGAACAGGCAGAAGAAGCATGTGTCTTACTGTATATACGTATATTAACGTCAAGCGGCGGCTGTTCAAAGCCATTCAACACTGAACTGTTTGAAGAGGGTTAGTGCTAGACGTTAGCGCTTGTGTTGGGGGTTAAAAACAGATCGAGTTTTACAGCTTGTCCACACTTTGGCTGTGTTTCTCAAAAACAGTGGGTGACCCTAAATGTGGAATGGCGCTAGGCTAAGCGGTGCGTGTCGGGTCTGCCAGAGTCGGCAGAGGCTCGTAGGTGCTGACTTTAGGACTGGGCTGTAGTAGAGGTGTAAATGCTAACATTAGATATCAGAGGTTTACCTGCGTTGGCAGACTGCTCCAGGACCCCTCTTGAAATCGAGATGTGCACATCTCAAGAGGCAAAGTTCCTGGTTAAATAATCCTTA